CATAGATAATAGGTTAGCAGAAAAATCTATATCAAAGTTCTTTTGGGGCTAGGAGTATAGCTCAGTTGTAGAGCACTTGCCTAGCCAAAGGGTTTGATCTCAAACACCACAGAGAACAAACTAGAATACTAACTTAATTCAGTTTATTTGGGCTTTATAAAATTTCAGTTTTTGGAAATTGAGTTTTTTGTTCTGTACATGCAAGATTTGCTAAATAACTCACAAATAAGTTTTTCACTAAAGTGTGTTTGGGTTTTACATGTAAAAATGCATTTTATAACTGTTTTATTGCTTCATTGCTTATACACACTATTTTTCTTTAATAATTGACTTGAAAAATTGCCGTTATAAGCCAGGCACTAGTGGCTCATGCCTATAATCCTAGCTACTCAGGAGGCAGAAATCTGAGGATCACCGTTCAAAGCCAGCTGGGGTAGGAAAGTCCATGAGACTCTTATCTCCAATAAACTACTCAAAAAAGCCGGAAGTGACACTGTGGCTCAAGTGGTAGAGCGTTAGCCTTGAGTAAAAGCAGCCCAGGGACAGTCCCAGGTCCAGAGTTCAAGTCCCATTGCCAGCAAAACAAACAAACAAAAATTGCTGTTATGATAAATGGTTAAAAAGAAAAACCTCCAAATTCACCTACATTTTCAACTGGAATTTTTATAGATTCTACATTTTTTTAACTTGCCTTTGGGCTAAAGAGTTTAGCGAGAGACATTTAAATATCTTTACCAGAAGATATTTTGATTACAAATAGAAAACATTTCTATGCAAAGATCTGGCCAGAGACAAATTATTCTGGTAAAGTTGCTATGGGATTTATCTTCCATATAATTTTTTAAATTAAAAATGTTGAAGGTAGTATTTTTGTAAATTGAACAGTAGGGTCATACTGAGATACATTGTATAATTGAATATTTAGGTTTTTTATATAAGTAATATAGAATATTTGAGCTTAAAGTACTGATAAAACTGTTTTGTGTATCTGTTCTCTGGTTTAGTTTAAATGAGAAGAGTTATGTCCTTTTATCAATCACTAAATCTACTTCTCTAATACAATTTGTTCTTATTAATGTCCCTTATAATTGCCTCCAAGGACCAATGCATTCTGTTTCTTCTAGATTCTCTATGCTTTAATTAACCGTTCACATAGGGGATGAAGCTAGTCAGATTGTGTCTCATTTACTTTGCTACCCTGGCTTAGTTTTGCCATGAATTTGAAAATTCAATTTCGAGGTGATTGTGAGACAAGGTCATTTTTACTTTAGTTTTTTTTTTTTTTTTTTTTGCTGGTCCTGGGGCTTGGCCTGGGCACTGTCCTTGAGCTTCTTGTACTCAAGGCTAGCACTCTACCACTTGAGCCACAGCACTACTTCCAGCTTTTTTCTGTGTCTGTGGTACTAAGGAATTGAACCCAGGGCTTCATGCATGCAAGGCAAGCACTCTGCAACTAAGACACATCCCCAGTCCCTACTTTAGATCTTTATTGAAAAAAATTAATTATGAGGATACTTTCAGGGGTTAATGTCAATCTCAAGCAAGAGCTTAGATGATAGACCTTTGGAAATGACCTAACCAAAGATAAATTAGCTGTTCAGACTAGTACGTTCTGTGCAGCCAAAGCAAAACTGGGCCACCCCTCTTTCTATGATGAGAAGGTACATTAGATAGTGTTGTTCCTGGCATTTACTTTAAGGATCCCTATTTAGTTATTGCAGCCCCAGCAAAATACCTAACTGAGCTACTTAAAAAACAGAAATTCACTTTCTTACTGCTTTACAACATCTTACTGCTTACAACATCACAGTTTGGCAGGGTTTGATTTCTAGTGAGAGTATTCTTTCTGCCTTAGACATGGTCTTTTCTCTATGGACCTGGAAAGGTGGGGAGAGGGATCTTTCTTTCATTAAGTTACTGATTTCATTATGAGAACACTACCCTCATGATTTAATCTAACTAATTCCCAATTCCCTGTCTCCAAATAACATAATCAGAGGATTAGGGCTACAAGGTATGAGTTTGGAGGGAATATAGATATTTAGTCCATAATGGTATGTATGCTTTTTCTCAGTGGGATTTGAGAGAAATTAAGAGTTAACAGATTTTTTCCCCCAGAAGTATGTCACTTTGTTTTGAGGTCTAAAGATACCATGAAATACTTAATACAAGATGAAAATGCAAATGTATTTTGCTAACTATGGTGCACTTATGTCTATCTGTGTGTAAGACACCATTATGGTACAGTTTCTTCTCTTGATATTTTCTCCCAAATACTTGGAATTCAGCTTTTTCCCCTATAGTGCCTCTGACATTCTATTTTTCCAGTAAACTTAGCAATTCAAACTGCTTGCATATCTGTGCTTTCTTTCATTTTGTAATACTTTGGTGGGACATACTTGTCATGTTTCATTGGGGGCAGACTTTCTTCTTAATTTTGTAACACATTTTACCTTAAATATGTTGTGAGAGGGGTTAGTACCATTATATTGATCTTCAGCTTATAAAACATAACTAATGTGTGTTCAACAATGTAGTTGAATGTTATATATTTATGACTCAGCAAAATTTAATTTCTGTGAATTCACTGTTGAAATAGAATCCCAATGACATAATTTTAAATCAGAGTTAAAAACAACATTTTAGCTAGTGTTAAGCTTTAAGCAGTTTCATCAGATTATTTACAATTTGACCAGCCTTCCAAATATTAGTAACATAAAGAACAAAGGTTATTACTTTCTGGATTGCATGGTATAAGTGAATTCAAATTCTATATTTTGGGGCATTTCTTAGATAATCAGATTGTTGTACTGTAATGGGGCTTGACTGTAGGGCCCTGAGCTCTTGCTTGGCCTTTTCACTTAAGACTCTGGCTCTTCCACTTGCATCACATCTCTACTTCTGACTTAATTGGAGATAAGTCTTACAAATGTTTCTGTCTGGGCTGGCTGTGAACTGTAATCTTCAGATCTCAGCTTCTTGAATAGTTAAGATTACAGGCATGAGTCACCAGTTCCTAGCTCTGCCAGTTTTCTTTAATCCTACCTTATATGACTAAATACGACAGATAAGCTGGGTTTTGAGCTTATTGTTGCAAAGTTTTAAAATTATTTTCCTGCTTTTTTAATAAATCTTTGATTTATGAGCATCTTAAGATGGAACTTTACCTTTATTATGATAAGATCCTCTCTGCCAGGTGATGGCACATACCTATAGTCCCAACACTTGGGAGACTGAGAGAGAAGGATGGGGAATTTGAAGCCCGTTTACACTACATGAGAATGTCTCAATCCTCTAGCCCTCCAAAAATGATAGAAAATATTTGTGAGAAAAACTATATTAAATGAGTATGAAATTTCAGTTAAGATAATCTATAGTTGGAAATGTAGCTCAGTGGTAAAGTATTTGTGTAAAGCTCTAAATTCAACTCCCATTACCCCTCCATAGTGCACAACACACACATACACATACATGTATGCATACATGCCAATGTAGTATGAATCCCTTTTAGAAATAAATGTCTTAAAATTTCTCTTTTAAATTTGTCTTGAAATTTTAATTTATAATCTTAATACCTAAGCTATTTAAATATCTCTACAAGCCAGGTTCTGGTGGTTTATTCCTGTAATCCTAGGCTGAGATCGAAGGATTCCAGTTGGAAGCCAGCTTGTATAGGAAAGTCTGTGAGACTCTTGTCTCAAATTAACCACCAAAAATCCAGAAGTGGTGATGAGGCTCAAGTGGTAGAGAGTACTAGTTTTGAACAAAAATGTTCAGGGACAGCCCCCAGTCCCAGGACTAGCACAAAAATGATGACAGCAACAAGAACAAAAAAAATCTTGAAGAGCCAAAGAGGATATAAACAACATGTTTATATTTAGTTTCCTAATCTAAGATTTATTTTTCTTTATAATAATTAAAATAGGCTTTACAATGTAAGTCTTCAGTATAGTTATAATAGACTTTATATCTCTATATTTAAAATGAAGGCACTTAAACTTTCAAATTAAATTTTGGATTTTTTTGAGGTAATCTTTATATTTAAGTATATATTATTAACAAAGGAGCTGATGAAATATAGAATATTTAAATGTTCAGTATTTAGAAATAACATGAATCTTGTAACTCTATAATTAAATTATATTCATATCAGACCAAAATAATCTATATTTACTTAAATATTCAAAAATACTTTGAGTATTTCTAGAAATTTCCACCTAAATTTGGCATATCTATTTAAGTAGTACTTAGATTGTGTTGAAAAAGGTATGTGTGTAAGAGAGACATTAGTGACTTGTTTGCTTATTTGCTTTGGTTTCTTTTGTATTAAATGCTTTTTAAAGTACATTTCTTTAGGACTTGCCTACATCTTCTCTGATAACTGAGGAGCTACCACCACAGTCCTTAAATTTTTAATTTTAATGTCTCTTTAGGATTACAGTGGGGTTTATTCAAGTGAGTGGTGATACTGTGTGTGTGTGTGTGTGTGTGTGTGTGTGTATGTGTGTGTGCATTCCAGATCTTATAAGAGGTCTAGGAATACTCAGTAGTTGTCTTCTTCCTCCATCTTCTAATCATAACGAAATACTTTCTTTTTTTGTAGTAGTAGTAAATTTTCTTTCTTAAAATCCAAATGGACCAGAAATAAATTTTTTAGTTCATTTGTATCATAAGTCAGTTTCAAATGACTGTGACTATCTCATAGTCATTTCAGTATAGACATTAATTTTTTTTCTTAGAGTACGTAATAAAATCGATCATGTCTTTAGGTATAAACTTTTATGTGAAGGATAGTGTCTTCAAACAGGCTTTTCTTTCCTTCCCCCTTATCTCTTTCTGTCTTTCAGGCATTGAAAAGAACACTGTGGCCTTTTAACTCAGTGGTACTTTAAAATGCACTATTCTTCTTATAGATATAAAAAAATTGATGCATGGGTAAAAGTAGCTTTTTATATCACAAATAAATTGAGCTTGTTATAGTCCTTTCTCTTCATTCTCAGGAGGAGGCAGAAATCCAGGCAGAACTTGAACGTTTAGAAAGAGTAAGAAATCTTCACATACGGGAACTCAAAAGGATAAACAATGAAGATAATTCTCAGTAAGTATTTGTTCTTCACTGCTGATAAATTCTAACCCACTCACCTCTCCCTGCTCCCAGGCAGAGCATAAATACCACTTCCTTGTGAGGCATGTCATCACACTGAGAAAAGAGCTTCCTGTGCTCAAAGGACCTTGTATGATATAGTCACCAGCCATCTCACCACTATCTCTCCCCCTCTGCTTGCTGCATGTCATAGACATGCTTGCCTCCTCAGACATGTCACGCACATTCCTATCTCAGGCTTATTTTGCATGTCATTTCCACTGGCTGATGTATTCCTCCTCTAAACATCTGAATGACTTTTATTTCATTCCAAATTTTTATTAGAGAGGCTGTCTGCTCATTCTCTTTCAGTAGTGTTAGCTTGCTTTAGTTGTCACGATTTGGGTTTACACATTTAGTGTTTGGTTATTTGTTTTGTCTCCCAGCTAGACTATAAACTTCATGAGCCCATGGACTTTGTTTTATTCTTGTTATATCACCAGAGCCTAGACAAAGGCACTTATTAAATGTTTGTTGATTTGGCTTGGTGCCAAAGTTAACATTATTGTATTGAAGGAGAAATTATTTCTAACATGACATATTTGGGAGAAATGTGGAGAGAACTACATGGTATTACAATGTGTTCTTGATTTCTAGTTGTTCAGATGAGGACCATAGATATGGTATATGTTAAAAGAGTTCAAAGAAAAGTATCTATGAGTTTATGGGAACATTCTGAAAACAAATTAATTAAACAAGGCACTACTTAGATTTGGTTGGTATAAAAGAGAATTGGTAGTGGGATAACAGTGGCTCCTGCCTGTCATCCTAGCTACTCAGGAAGCTGAGATATGAGGGTCATGGTTGAAAGTTAGCCCTGGCAGGAAAGTCTAAGATGAGAACTTTGATCTCCAATTAAGCAGCAACAAAAAACTGGAAATGCAGCTGTGGCACAAGTGGTGGAATACCGGACTGAGTGAATGCTGAGTGAAAAAGCTAAAGGACAATTGCACAGCTCTGGGTTCAAGACCCAGTATCCACACACACACACACACACACACCCCTCCACACACACACACACACACACACACACACACACACGAGGAATGGTGTTTGTTTACACTTTCATTTTTAAGTGTGATAACATAAATTTAAAACTTCATGACAATGTATCATAATTGAAATAGCCTATTTCTTCTTCTTTCTTCTTTTTATTTTGTGCCAGTCTTAAGGCTTGAACTCATGTCCACAAGCTTCTTTTGCACAAATATAGTGCTCTACTTCTTGAGCCATAGCTCCACTTCTGGCTTTTATTTTTTTTTAGTAGTTTACCAGAGATATGAATCTCACAGACTTTTTTTTGCCGAAATTGGCTTTGAACAGCCATGGTTCTTATATCTCAGCCTCCTGTTAGCTAGGCATGAGCCACTGGTTCCCTGCAGCAAGAACCCATATCTGTTTGTAAAATATAATTATTTTACTTAGGAAAAACGGCTCATTTGTGATTATTAGTGTATGTGTAATTCATATATATGAAGATATAATTCTATTATGTGAGGTAAATGAAATAATACAGTTAATTTCTATCAGCAACCCATGGGAAATTAACTTAAAATTCTGGACATGAGGCTCAGAATTTGTGGTTGTGACTTAGGGATTAAAATAAAAACAGTAGTTAAAAATGTGCATTAAAACTAAGCAGATATCTCAAGTTTTCAAGAAAGCTTTTATTATTAAGCCTATTTTTACTTGTTTTTTTTAAATAAGAATATAAAATACAATGTGTTTGCACTTAGAATTTTTACTATCTCTGTGTAGCAGTTCCCTTATCTGTAAAGCAGACATAACAGGCTCTACTTCATAGGTTAGATAAGAACTAAAATGAGTTAATAAATGTAAGTACTTAGTGTCTCCAGGTACAATAAAATTAAGTTTATGAATAATTTTTACAGTAATTTTTTGTACCAGTCTTGAGACTTGACCTCAGAGCCTGGGCACTGTCCCTGACTTGAGCCAAAGATCCACTTCAGGCTTTTTAGTTATTAATTAGAGATAAAAGCCTCTTGGATTTTCCTGCTGCAGCTGGTCTCAAACAACAATCCTTAGATCTTAGCTTCCTGAGTAACTAGGATTATAGGTGTGAGCTACTAGCACCAGGTTCTAAAATGTTCTTTTTTACTTTTTAAATTAGAGATTAAAGTTATTTAAGAAAAGTTTCAAAAACAGATTTAGTCATGGGCAAAGGACATTCAATGAATAGAATTATTTACTTAAAAAGTATATTTTTGCCATCTGGTTATTGGTAGCTCATGCCTGTAATCCTGTCTGTTCAGGAGGCTGAGGTCTGAGGACTTCATTCAAAGCCAGCCTGGGCAGATAAGACTGAGACTTTTATCTCCAGTTGACTGCCTAACAGCCAGCTGGGAAGTGGAGATGTAGCTCAAGTGGGAGACTGCCAGGCTTTAGCAAAAAAGCAAATTGAGGGTACAACGCCTTGAATTAAGCCCCAGTGTTAGCACCAATAATAATAATAATAATATAAAGTAAAATTTTCCAAGAGAAGTGATATCTGAAGATAAGGGATTTCATATCAAGACAATAATTTGAACTGGGTGTTGTAGTGATGTCTATAACCCGGGTATTTGACAGTAAATTTTAGGTGTTTAAGAGAATCCTGTAATTGACCATTGAACATGAATATTAAGCTATAAAAGCTAAACTTTATAGACACTATAGCCTTAAGCTAGGTGGTATTTGTGCAAGTATGGGTTAGAAAATGAAAAATACTGACTAGAATTTGAAAATAACATTAGAGTAACTGAGAAAGAAATTGCTAGAAGAACAGAGTAAAATTTGTACAAGGAACTTTTTGTGTGTCTTTTAATGTGCCTGAGCAGTTTTTTCCATTCTTCTTAAGGTTCAAGGATCACCCCACATTAAATGAAAGATATTTACTGCTTCATCTGCTTGGAAGAGGTGGCTTTAGTGAAGTATATAAGGTAATATATTTTTCTTCTTGCTAATATAGGAAAAACAGCAGAGGTGGTTAAGAAGTATTTTATCTTTTGTTTATTGATTTTACACTGATTTTTAGGTCCTCACAGTTTACTGTGGTTTATGTTATGTTTTCCCCAAGTTCTAAATACTGTTCTTGGACATGGTCTCCATTTATTTAATCCTCTCAACTTTTTTTTTTAATGTTGGTACTGGGCTTGGATGCAGCCTCATGCTGTCACTTGTCTTTTTACTCAAGGCTCTCACTTTCCACTTGAGCCACAGCTCTATTTCTGGATTTTTGCTTGTTAGTTTCAGACAAGGGTCTCATGAACTTTTCTATTCAGGCTGACTTTCAACCAGATCTTCAGATCTCAGCTTCCTGAATAGCTTGGATTAAAACAGTCACTCAGCTAATAAGTCCATTATGTGACTCCAAAGAAAGTATTGTTTAGGGCTGGGAAGGTGGCTCAGTGGTAGAGCGCTTGCCTTGCATGCTCAAGGCCCTGGGTTCAATTCCTCAGCACCATATAAGCAAAAAGAAAAAAGCCAGAAGTGGCGCTGTGGCTCAAGTGGTAGAGCGCTAGTCTTGAGCTGAAGAGCTTAGGGACAGTGCTCAAGCCCAGAGTTCAGGCCCCATGAAAAAAAAAAAAAAGAAACTATTGTTTATTCTTCGTGTGACTGTGTGTATCTGTGTGTGCATGTGCATGCATGCTTGTACACATGTCTGTGTCTGCATCTGTGTGTCTGCTGTGTGTATTAGCAACTAGGAGGGTTACAGGTATGAGCCACTGGCATCTGGCTCATTTTGTTTTGGGTGCTTTTTTTTTTTTTTTTGCTTTATTTTGAAGAAATAGGCTGATGGCTTGAACAAATGAAGTGCACATCCCTTTTTATTGAGACATTAGGGAAAATTAAGCATAGGTTGTTTATTAAAGGAGATCAAGGAATTACATTATTGAATATTATTGATATAGTTAGTTATAAGAGTAATATTTCAGTTTAAGTGTGCTATTATTTCTTAGAGATAAATGCTAAATAATTCATAAGTAAAATGAAATATTACCAGGAGCCAGGTATTGGAGGCTCATGCCTATTTATCCTAGTTACTCATGAGGTTGAGATCTGAAGATTGAAGTTTGAAGCCAGCTTAGACAGAGAAATCTTAGATATTCTTATTTCCAGTTAACCAGCAAAAAGCCAGAAGTGAAGATATGGCTCACGTGGCAGAATGCCACCCTTGAGGGAAAAGCTAAATAAGTGCATGAGTTCCTGAATTCAAGTCCCAATACCAGCACTTAAAAAAAAAATCACAGGTGCTCAGTGGTAGAGCACTGTATGTGCAGAGCCCTGTCTTTGATTTGTAGTGCTGCATTCCCCCAACAGGAAAAAAAAAGATGAGTAAAGAACAGATGGAAAAGATGAAACAAGATTGCCAAAATATTGATAATTTTTAAAACTGGATCGTGGGTAAATCTTTTAACAACAAAAAAAGAATTTTTACTTTTGTTACATATTAAACAATTAACACTAAAATTATAGTTTGTTCTAATTCTATAGTATTGCAGAAATTATCACAAAAAAACTTTTAAAAAATTTCTTCAGTCACCTGGTTGATCTATTGGCTTAACTGTTCTTTGGCTTTAATCCTAGGCATTTGACCTATATGAACAGAGATATGCTGCTGTGAAGATTCATCAGCTTAATAAAAGCTGGAGAGATGAGAAAAAAGAAAACTACCACAAGTAAATAATAATACTTCATAGCTTTAATAAATTGCGTTTTGAAGCTGCTCATAGAGAATTAATATACTCTTTTCCTATAGACATGCCTGCAGGGAATATAGAATACACAAAGAACTGGATCATCCCAGAATAGTTAAACTCTATGATTATTTTTCCTTGGATACAGATACGTAAGTAAATATAAGGATTTAACTTTTAAGAAAAGACGTTGTTTTTTACTTTCCTTATCCTATAGTGATAATTCATTTTTCTATTGCAATTCTGAATTGCTGCATAATAATTATGTCTTTTTCCTCCTCCTGTCCCACTATAGGTTTTGTACAGTGTTAGAATACTGTGAAGGCAATGACCTGGATTTCTATCTGAAGCAACACAAATTAATGTCAGAGAAAGAAGCTAGGTCTATTGTAATGCAGATTGTAAATGCACTAAGATATCTCAATGAGATCAAACCTCCTATTATACATTATGATCTTAAGCCAGGTAATTAATGAAAGATGTCTACCAATTTAAGCTCTAAACAGTATAATTTTAGAAGGTATCATATGTATAATATCTGACAACCAGGTTTACTTTCCAAAAGCTAGTTTGAATCGTAAAGATAATACACATTTGAAAAAGAATCTTCTGTTTTTTTAGGAAACATCCTTCTGGTAGATGGGACAGCATGTGGTGAAATCAAAATCACTGATTTTGGTTTGTCCAAGATCATGGATGATGATAGCTATGGTGTAGATGGAATGGATCTAACCTCCCAAGGAGCAGGCACCTACTGGTATGTGTATTACTAAGCATATCAAAACTACCTAAAGTAGTCTCTAGTAATTATATGGGAATGTAAATTTATTTTCAAGTAGCCTAATTCTCTCGCTTGGCTTTTTTGCTCATGACTGGCACTCTACCAGTTGAACAATGGCTCCATTCCAGTTTTTTTGGTGATACGAGTCTCCTAGGTTGTCTGTGATTCTCAGATCTGTTTCCTGGTGGCTAAGATTACAGGCTTAAGCCACCAACACCTGGCTTGGATTTTCTCCTATAATGTTAGAGTGGTATTTATCCATATAATTTTATTTATTTATTTACTGTCAATCATGAGGTCTGAACTCTGGGCCTGGGCATTGGCTCTCAGCTCTTCAGCTCGAGGCTAGTGCTCTACTACTTGAGCCACAGCACCACTTCCGGCTTTTTCTGCTTATGTGGTGCCAAGGAATCGAACCCAGGGCCTCGTGCATGCAAAGCAAGCACTCTACCATTGAGCCACCTTCCCAGCCCCCATATCAATATTTTTATAAATACATTGTCTTTACTATTACAAATAAACTTATCATCCAGTTTTCTCTGTAAAGTTTTTTTGGTTGAAGTTTTTGTGAACACAGGTAGATGTTACGTTGATTTCAAATGGGAGAACATTCTTGATCTTTAGACTTCTCCAAAATTAAAGACTTAATACATATAGATTCAGCTCTAGATAGAATCCATTCCTAGACAAAAATATAGTTTAGTGTCATCCCTTTTAGTATATCTGGGTGTTTAAATGTGACTTGAGGGTTCCTAGAACAGTTTTCACACAGTTCGCCTAGATCCGTAATGACCATTTTCCACATGATGCCACCGGTCTATATAGGTTTTACCTTCATGGATTCTTTTCAACCCACTTTAAAATTTCAAATTCTACTGGATCATTTCTTATAAATAATATATGGATAATATAACTGTAAAAATTTGTGTGTGTGTATCTGTGTGTGTGTGTGTATGAATTGATCAGTTAGACAACTCCCTAACCATTAATAGTGTCAATAAGTAGTCTTTAGATTTTTTTCTTTTAGCAACTAGACTAGACGCTTTTATTGCTAAATCAAATAGAGCTTTCTACTTGCTTTGGAGTATAGGAAAAGATTTCTATCAGAAACGAGTTATTGTTCCTCTTTGGTAGTTCTACTTTAAGAAAGTTTCACATGCTAAATATCATCCTTGTATGAGCCTTCTGAAACCTCAGTGATTTTTATATAGTGAGTGTAAAACTCAAAAGTTTTTTGTTTGTTTATTTCTTTGCCAGTGCACTGGGACTTGAATTCCTACCATTTGAGCCAAGGTCCCAACCCTAAAACTCATTTGTTTTTCAATAAATTTTTATTTAGTAGAATCATCCTTTTTCACAATTTTTAGTTTTATCTAAAATTTTGAGTTTTAAGATTCTAAAATGGATCTTTTTTCTTAAAATCTGAGATGACAAATTAGATTTTCACTTTTGAATAAGAGCACCCTGTATTGCCTTAGTGTCTAGTATGATTAACAATTGAATGCCATTGTAGAGGTACCCATAGTACCCTGCTCTAACAGGAGAAAGCAAAGAACTGTCTGGAAAGAAATGGAGAGGGCATAAGAGATTCAAAAGAACACAGGATACTGGAGCACAGTTTGCAAGTGATGAGGAGTCATACTGAGTGCAGACTTTGAAATTTATATTATTGCCTGCATTAGGATTTTTCTGTTACAGCAAGAAATATGAAGTTTTACTTTGTTGGCAATGTGTTCTCCAAGTGGTTTAAACAAGATAACCATATATTTGGCGCATATTTTAGAAAGGAAATTGCATGTCTGTTTGTGCAGATTTAAATAAATTATCCTTTATTACAAAGTTTTTGTGTTTTGGCTTGAGAGTCAAATGGTTTAAAAGATGTAAATTTGTCAATAGTTGAAATGGATTTCATTGATGAACACTGTTGTTTTTATATGGATAAAATAAGCATTCTAAGACAGTGTTTTAAAAGATTTTTAAGTTAAAGGTTATTAATTTCTGTCTTTTTCTTTTTCTTCCCCCAAAACTATAGGTACTTACCTCCTGAGTGTTTTGTAGTTGGAAAAGAGCCACCAAAGATTTCCAACAAGGTTGATGTGTGGTCAGTTGGAGTCATCTTCTTTCAGTGTCTGTATGGTAGAAAGGTAAGTTAAATTATACTAGCTTCATCTGTGTAGAAATAAATTGAATTTTTTTCTCTTAAATGCAGAATTCATTAATGAAATCACTGTAGATCCTTAAGGAAATCCAGGCTTCTCAATTTCTTTCTTGGATCAAAATTACTTTAATGTCATACCAGTTTATTTGGCTATCCTCCCTCTCACAGTTTATTTTGTCTGTCCATCTGTATCTGTCTGTCTTCCTTCCTGCCTACCTAGCACACATATTTTATTCATTGTTCACTTTTTCTAACACCCACCACAATCTCACCCTCTACAGAGTTTATAATGGGCATAATTCCTCCTGTGACTCCTCAGAAAAATACTATTAAATATAGTCTTAATTCCTTCCAAACTTTTTTAAATATTTTAGTCAGAAGTGCAAGTTACTAGATAATATTTGGCTCATACCCCACGACCTTATATGAAAAGAGAGGTTAAGGGGCTTTTCCAGAAGTTCATCACATGTTATGACCAAATCCAGATCCCCTAGGCCACATCTAGAGCCATTTTGTCTTAAACTTACATTGCAACAGTATTATTTTCTCTTACAGTGTTTCATCTGTTAATGATTAGATAATTTCATAAACTTTCTCTGCCTACAATCAATTATCTTGTTTCTGAGACTGCATCCTAAATTTTACATAACTAAGGATAAGATTTTAGTACCAAAATAATTTAGTTTGGAAACTCACTTGTAATATCTTAGTTTTGAATATTTTGTGAGATAAATTTCTCATCATTTTTTTAAAGCCATTTGGTCACAATCAATCTCAACAAGACATTCTTCAAGAAAATACAATATTAAAAGCCACAGAAGTCCAGTTCCCTGTAAAACCAGTTGTAAGCAGTGAAGCCAAGGTATTAAACTCATCTTAAATAAGTCTTTGAAGTAACTTTCACTTGTGCTTACAGTATGGTAAGTACTTACAAGTAAGTACAGTCACTGGAGTTGCCACTGCAGGGATCTGAAATCACTAACTTGGGCTGGTGATTTCCTTGGAAAAAGGAGATTTTTCATCTTTTAAGTACCCAAATATAGTTTCTGATTCTTTGTGCATGTCAGCTTTCAAAATTTAGGGGGAAAAGCCCTCACAAGATCTGATAGCTTTTATGTTTTTATGTTAATATTGACAATTTAAGTATAAAAGAAAGTAAAAGCAGTAATAACTAAACCTACATACATACAACCTTATGAAGAATAGATATTTTAGTTATTTCAATTTTGTCAAGTGGGAAAACAGACACAGTATTGCCAACTAAGAGGTGGCTCACAGTGTTAATGCCTGTTGATAGAGTCCATGTCCTGGCATCTTCACTTGTAACCACATTCTAATCACATATATGTCTATGAATTAACATAATAGGAAATAGGATTAATAATAACATTTTTCTCATGCTGCATATTTTCATCCTTTTGGACTTTGATTTTTGTATTTTTACTCCTGCTTTGTCATACTTGTCACAAAGCTCACTTCTTGGTGACTCTTGTTAGAGTTTTCACTTTTTTAAGTCCATAAAATTCGTAAACTAAAGAAGTTTCTGATGTGAATATATCAACCCATAAGAACAATGTATAAGCAAGCACAATATATTTTATATATTTCCGTGTGTGTGTGTGTGTGTGTGTGTGTGTGTGCGTGCATGTGCGTGCATGTGCGTGTGTGTGTCAGTACTGGGGTTTGAAGTCAAGGCTTTGCAGTTTCTAGGCAGACAACTCCATCAATTTAGCCATGCTTCCAACCTTATATTTCTATTACTTCTTTAAGTCAGTCCCAGCGTTTGAACTTTTTGCCAGTCCCAGCCTCATACTTGCTCACTTGCTTGCTCAGCTGGCGCTGTATTTCTTTAGCCCTTCTTTTTGCTGATTATTTTAGAGATAGAGTCTCACAGATCTTTCTGTCAAAGCTGGCTTTGAATCACAATCCTTTATAGCTCAGCCTGAATAGCTAGGATTACAGGTATGAGCCACTAGCATATGGCTCCTTGCTATTCTTAGTGTGGGTAAGTACCATTAGGTGTTTATAGACATAGTAGCCTTTTTAATTGAAGATATGCTGGATTTTATGTCATCAAGTTATTTAGTGTTGGTTAGAATATTTTGATAATTAAAAAGATGAGAGTAAAATTATCTTAGGATGTAATGGTTGGATCCCATTAGTTCAAACCCACTACCATCACCAAAAAATACTGACTTAATGAATTATTTTTTAGGGTAAATATGACTCCTTTAAAAAGATCTTTTTTTTTTTTAGGGAAAATCACATTTTATTATTTATACAATTATTTTCTCTTGTTTCTCCATGTTTTTGATAGCAGGACTAGGCCCTGCCAGGGAGATGGAGTTGTACAGTTTTTGAAAAAGACCAAAATACACTTAACCTAAGAATAGTAGGATATAGAGCCCACTGTTTCTTGCAGTATTTTTATTTTTTTTATTTTTATTTATTTAATTTTATTTGTTAACATACTGTTCAGAGGGGTTACAATTACATGGGCAGGATAATGCATGCATTGCAGCCTCCTCCTTTGTTTACCCTTCACATCCCTTCCCAGCCTCCCCAGTCCCAATCCTTCCCCCCCCCCACCAACGTTGTAAAGCTCGTCTTGGACATGACAACTTGTACTTCTCATTGTTGCAACAGGTCCACCTGTATCCTTAAATGACTTGTTTTTCCCCATCTCCTCCACAAGTTATACTGACATCAAATATAGTGAAAGCAGGGGTTATACTGTGGGGGAGGGACATACAAAGCAACAAAGAGA